CATTGACTTCTCTTTTAGTAAATTTAAGGTGACTGAAACTAATTCAGATAATAAGTAAACACTACAATAAATGTAAATAAATAAATAATAATATTATTTTTACGTTTATATGACTAATAAGTTGCTGATGAAAATATGAATTAAATTTTAAAAGAAATTAATGTAATTATATCAAAAATTCAAGATTAATTATATTTTTTCAAATTTCAAATAAAATGAGCGTAATGTACCATTTTGTAATAAATTAATTAAACTCGAATTCAAAGAAGTAACATGGAGTTGGAACAAGTTTGATAAAAGAAAAAACTGCAAGTTGACTTCAAAAAAAAAAAAAAGAAAAGTAAAAAAGGTCATAGATAACTTTAGTTCTCACTTTCTCACTTTAACTTTTGTTCCTTCGAAAAGATGAGAAGCGGTTTTCTTTTGACAAGAATTGCAAAATTCTAGGAGAAGAAGAAGATAGACATAGACAGCTCAATTTCCTATAGTCTGGTCAACTTGCCTTAAATTTCTTCCTAACTCTGTCCAAACCCCCCCAAATGCCCCTCCCATTGTAAATAGACTCAACCCCCCAACGACATTTCTTCAAGAATTGAAAATTTCTAGAAGGAGAAGAAACTAGGGATGAAAAGGTTTGAGCGGAAGAAGAAGAGTGGATGATAAGGATGAGGAAAGAAATAATATTATAAAAATTGTAAAAATATAAATTTAAAATTTAAAATTTTAAAGGTATATGGAGATAATTTTGTAGTGCATGTAGAATTGCTCAACACATAATAGAGTCACTCCATTTGCACGAACCTGGGGTGCTGTTGCTGTGAGCCTGTGGAGACTTTTTTCGAGTCTTTTTCGATGATTCGAACCGTTTATATTATAGGATTAGTTGAATAGATTATTCATACAAAAAAATCAAATTGATTAAAAATCTATAACTTTATAACAAGAGCACATTTATTTTTTAAAAAATAAACGGTTGACATTGTCTGGATCACACTGTTAACGTGAATATTATTATTATGGATATTTTGATAACTATATCACCTATAAGACTTATTAGAATATAACAAAAATAATTTAAACTAAGTAAAATATAAGTAGGTGAAGAGAGATTTATGAATAAATACTCCAAAAAAATACTAGCCTCGTCAACCTTTATGAATTTATATATTTAAAATATAACTTTAAATTTAAAATCATATTAATAAATTGGGTAAATTACACTAACTTCTCTTGAGTTTTGAAAAAAATACAGTCAATTTTACATTTTTAATATAATTACATTGACTTCTCTTTTAGTAAATTTAAGGTGACTGGAACTAATTCAGATAATAAGTAAACACTACAATAAATGTAAATAAATAAATAATAATATTATTTATAAGTTTAAATGACTGTTTACATGACTAATAAGTTGCTGATGAAAATATGAATTAAATTTTAAAAAAAATTAATGTAATTATATCAAAAATTTAAAATTAATTATATTTTTTCAAATTTCAAATAAAATGAGCGTAATGTACCATTTTGTAATAAATTAATTAAACTCGAATTCAAAGAAGTAACATGGAGTTGGAACAAGTTTGATAAAAGAAAAAACTGCAAGTTGACTTCAAAAAAAAAAAAAAGAAAAGTAAAAAAGGTCATAGATAACTTTAGTTCTCACTTTCTCACTTTAACTTTTGTTCCTTCGAAAAGATGAGAAGCGGTTTTCTTTTGACAAGAATTGCAAAATTCTAGGAGAAGAAGAAGATAGACATAGACAGCTCAATTTCCTATAGTCTGGTCAACTTGCCTTAAATTTCTTCCTAACTCTGTCCAAACCCCCCCAAATGCCCCTCCCATTGTAAATAGACTCAACCCCCCAACGACATTTCTTCAAGAATTGAAAATTTCTAGAAGGAGAAGAAACTAGGGATGAAAAGGTTTGAGCGGAAGAAGAAGAGTGGATGATAAGGATGAGGAAAGAAATAATATTATAAAAATTGTAAAAATATAAATTTAAAATTTTAAAGGTATAAGGAGATAATTTTGTAGTGCAAGTAGAATTGCTCAACACATAATAGAATCACTTCATTTACACGAACCTGGGGTGTTGTCGCTGTGAGCCCGTGGGGACTTTTTCTTAGTCTTTTTCGATGATTCGAACCGTTTATATTATAGGATTTGTTGAATAGATCATTCATACAAAAAAATCAAATTGATTAAAAATCTATAACTTTATAACAAGAGCACATTTGTTTTTTAAAAAATAAACGATTGACATTGTCTTGATAATTTTTGTAAAACAATTTGAATCTGATCATAGAGTTACGGATTTCTAATTAACTTGATTTTTGGTATGGATAATATACTCGATGAACCTTACAATATGAACGGTTCAGATTATCAAAAAAGACTCGAAAAAAGCCCCCACGAGCTCATAGCAGATTGCTGTTTTAACTTAGGCACCGTTTGGGAAGGTGGATTGGAGGCTTTTTTGGCTATTTTAACCACAAAAGACAAAATAGGCTATTTTAGCCACAACAAACAAAACATCACATCCAACCCATAATCATTGCACTCTTCTCTCACAAAAAAAGTCAAAAAAGCCAAAAAACCAAAAAGCCCTTCCCAAACCAAACTTTTTAGCCCAGGCTAAAATAGCCAAAAAAGCCAAAAAGCCAACCTACTTCCCAAACCAACCCTAAGTCACAACAGCACCAGGTCTCATTTGCACCCATTGGTTGGACACCCCAATTTAATAAATTTATTTTATTGCTATTATGTTTTTATTCAAAATGGCTAAAAATACTTAATATTGAAAAAACTGTAAATCATATTATTTTAAATATTCCATCTCATAATCAATCACAATATTTGTTTTTGGGCAGTGGGTTGCCTCTAGTTCACCATCTGAACTGGAGGATCCAGTCCGGTCCATTGGGTTTACTTTTGGGTTCTTTTTTTATAATCTGAATAATTCACATTTTAGGATTTGTTAAGTACATTATCCTTGTAAAAAATCACGTCGATCGAATAACGGATACTATGTATTCGGATTATTTTTTTATGAATCGTTAATATTTTGATCATCCATTTTTTTCAGACAAAAATGATCTGAATATATAGTATCCATTATCCAATCGACGTAAATTTTTACAAGAATAATGTATTTAACAAACCCTAAATGTGAACGGTTTAGTTTATCGAAAAGGGACCCAAAAGTGAACCCAATAGAGCAAACTAGATTGGACTGTCCTAGATCTGGACTGAAAACCGTCCAGACCTTTCTTTTCCTATTCTTTTCTCACTTTCTTCGCTTCATATCTTCATACGCAATTTTATTTCTTTTGAATCCATCATTGTTATATTATATTTCATATTGAAGTCAATAATGAACAATGAAGCATACGTTCCTAAACTATTTTTTTTTTATAGAAGATGTAGGTTTTCAGTTCATCTTCATCATTTTTGGCAGATGGGTTTACAAAATTTGTTCGAAAATTCATATTGAACAGATTACATTAATTCGAAAACTTATTTCCAAAAAAAAAAATCATATACTTGGTATTGTGTTTCTGAATATTTAATTTTCTAGCTTCTTAATATTCTAATTCTGAACAAAAAATAAACAAATCTAATATTATATCTCCAAGCAAATTACAAATGTTTAGAAATTTATTTTGAAATAAATTCTATTTTGTTCGGTATTGAGTATTTGAAAAGAAATAAAAATATTCAACTTCTTGTTTCCATACCTTTAAGGTGATTTTTTTCAAGCGAGGGTAACAACGGGATGGGCTCTGATGGAGGTGGCCTTTGACGGTGGATTTTGACGGGAGTGGGCTTCGATCGGAGAGGTATGATTTCTTGTATTGTTCTGCATGAGAAGTTAAGTTTGAGAAAATTAGAACCAATTTAGTTTGTGGGATATGTTAAGTATCTTGGGAGAGTTTTTGAGAATATAATAGATATTATTTGAAATGTCCAAAATAATAGAATAAATATTAAATTTTAAAATGAGATGTTCAAAATATTGGGTGTTCAACCAATTTTTGGATGTACAAATAGAGTCCCCCCATGTAACATTGATTTTTTTTCCCAGTTCACACTACTTTATTTTCATGCTATTTTTATTATTAATCTTGAAATCCCAATTCCAATCTTAACTCTAATCCATTGCAGCCACCATTACGGCTACATCCTAATTCTAATTCTAATCATGATTCTATTTCTAATCCTAATTCTTCCTATTGCTCTTTTTTCTTTGCCACCCCACTCTTTTCCATTCAATCCCATATTTTCTCTGTCACGTCTCCAATTTCTTTTTTTTATTCTAAAAAAAACAATTTAAAAAATTGACCTATTTTTTAAACTAATGGAAAAATTAACCTATTTTTTGAAATTATATTTTGAAAATGTAATTTTGAATTAAAAATTACATTTTTCAACATGTAATTTCACTTGAAATCGCATATTGAAAATATAATATATCTTAGAACAATCCATATCATTATAAAATTTTATTTTCAACATGTGATTTTAAGTGAAATTGTATGTTAAAAATAACCATTATTATACTCACTATATAGTGGTATTTTGAAAAATTGGTAAAAAGTTAATTTTTTTTACTTTTTTACTCTATTTTATTTTTTTATGAATAAAAAAACTTAAAGCTGATTTTTTTTTTTTTTCTAAAAAACCAATAATAAGTACATCATTCTGTTCACTATATAATGAATAAAGCTTCGGACCGTTAGTAGGGATGTTGGAGTCCTTTCCATTGGTCTAAAAAAAAAAAACAATTTTTTTCAATTTTTTTAATTTTCAGTGAATGACAGGCCGACACGTGGCCCGGATTCACTGGCCCCAGTGGGAGTCTATAACATTGCTATATAATATGATTTTATTTTTAAAAACCATTTCTCTTTCAACTGACCCCCGCGTTTTCTCCCGTCTATGCTGTGCCATCTCCACCCACCACCTCAACCACCGCTAGCGGCGGAGCAAATACACAACTCATGGGTAACTGCAACGCCTGCGTGAGACCCAAAACCACAAACAACCACCACCACCACCACAAAAACAAGAAGACCGGAGAATCCAAACCCAACCCCTACTCCGCTTCACCGGTTCCGATTCGAGTCCTGAAAGACTTCATCCTCTCAACCCACCGCACCCGAATCTGGGACAAATACATACTGGGACGCGAACTGGGTCGTGGCGAGTTCGGGGTCACCTACCTCTGTACCGATCGCGAGACCCGAGAGGCCTTGGCTTGCAAATCCATATCGAAGAAGAAGCTGAGAACCGCCGTGGATGTTGAGGACGTTCGACGAGAGGTTCAGATAATGTCGAGCTTGCCTGATCACCCAAACATCGTGAAGCTCAAAGCAACTTATGAGGACAATGAAGCTGTGCATTTGGTGATGGAGCTTTGTGAAGGTGGAGAGCTTTTCGATCGGATTGTTGCGAGAGGGCATTACAGTGAGAGAGCTGCGGCTGGGATTGTGAGGACGATTGCGGAGGTTGTGAAGATGTGTCATGTGAATGGGGTTATGCATAGGGATTTGAAGCCTGAGAATTTCTTGTTTGAGAACAAGAAGGAGAGTTCGATGCTTAAGGCGATTGATTTTGGGCTCTCCGTGTGCTTTAAGCCTGGTATGTGGTGGATTTGGTTCTGATGTATGTGTTTTTTTGAAATGGGTTTTTGAGATTTTTAGTGATTTTTATTTTATTTTATTTTATTGCTGAATTTTGGGGGGAAATAGTTATTTTCCATTTGGATTACAGTGTTGTTCATGGGTTTTGGTTGATTAATCGATTGGATTTTTCCTTATGGGTTTTGAGGATTTTTATTGGGTTTTAGAGATTTTGGGTTCTGTGTGTTTTAAGCGTCCTATGGTGATGGATTTTTGGTTCTGATATATATATATATATATATATTTGAAATGGGTTTTAGAGATTTTTATGTTTTTAAAACTTTTTTGCTGAATTTTTGGGAAAAAATGGTTAAGACTTTAGTTTGAATTGTTCAAAATTTGAATTAGTTTTTATTTACTGTTCATGGGTATTGGTTGATTCATCGATTGGATTCTCGAATTTGGATTTTTCTTATGGGTTTTGAGGATTTTTATTGGGTTTTAGAGATTTTGGACTCTCTGTATTTTTGGTTCTTGGCGATGGGTTCTGATATGTTCTTTTTGAAATGGGTTTGAGAATTTTAGTTTTTTTTATTAAAAAATTGCTGAAATTTTGGGAAATTTTTGGTTGGTTGTTTAGTTTAAATTGTTCAAAATTTGAATTATTTTTCATATGGGTTACAGTACTGTTCATGGATTTTGGTTGATTAATTGATTGGGTTTTCGAATTTGAATTTTTCCATATGGGTTTTCAGGGTTTTTATTTGGATTTAGATTTGATCATTGGATGAATTTTCTAATTTTGGATTTTTTTTCGGCAGATACGGTTGAGATTGTTAATGGGTTTTGACTTTTCTTTTTGATTGAATTGGTCACTTTGAATATTTTAATTGAGGATGTTATGGGATTTGAGTGGATTCTTTGATGATTTTTGATTTTATTTTATTTTTGAACTTCCTTTACATCTTCATTCAGGGGAGAAGTTTTCAGAGATAGTGGGGAGTCCATACTATATGGCCCCGGAGGTTTTGAAGCGGAATTATGGGCCAGAGGTTGATATATGGAGTTCCGGTGTGATTCTTTACATTTTGTTATGTGGGGTTCCTCCATTTTGGGCAGGTATTACTTTTCTTCTTGTAAAGGATTGTTGATATAAACATGGTTATGGACCTATGGTGTCATTGCATTGTTGAGTTTTGTTCTCATTGTATGTTGCAGAAACCGAACAGGGTGTTGCCCTGGCAATTCTGCGGGGGGTGCTTGATTTCAAGAGGGAACCATGGCCTCAGATTTCTGATAGTGCCAAGAGCCTTGTTCGGCAGATGTTAGAGCCAGATCCCAGAAAGCGTTTGACCGCCCAACAGGTGCTTGGTAAGTCTCTATCCACTGTGTGCCGACTTTTGACTTTGTCAATTGATTCCCAGTCTTCTGGTTAGCTGTATATTGGATGGCATTGCCATTGTTGCCTTCTTTAATTTTTGTTTCTTTTAAAGGAGAATATATTGAGCAAGAATATGATGCACTCTTCTTGTTGGAATAATATGCTTAGGACCTTCAAAATTTTGATTATTCTCATTGGTCAAGGAATTTCAATTTTGCGTATTCTTGATGGGGAACCATTTGACAGATGAAAGCGAGTAAATATCGACTACTACAAGACAACTGTTTTTTTTTGGTTTTCAAAGGATTGAGACAAAATAATTAATGACATGGAGCAGTGTTGACTACAAACTATTTAATGGTGGATACCCTTCAATTGACATATTTACAGGCTGTTTGTTTGGGTGGATAAGGGAAGAAAGGAAAGTGGGGGTGGGGGAGGGAATGAGGTTGTTTCCGCCGTTTGGTGGGGACAATGGGAATAGGGGGAAAGAGAAATGGGGTGGGGTGTGCCATCCTCTCAAGCACAGATAAGGCCTTTTGCAAATTTATGGGTGGAAGAGGAAAGCAAGAGGAAGAAGAGAGTAAAAGCTGATATGGGTTATCAAACACACAAAATTACCATTTTGCCCTCCATTTTGTATAATAGTCCATTCAGTATGGGTACAATAGTCAAATAATTTAACGGCCTCTTCCTTATTTTGTTTCCACTCCATCAAACAAAAAGGAGGAAAAGCTCAATTCTTTTCACAGTATCCACTTCTGTTCTCCTTCCTTCCCCTCCCTCCATGGTTCCTTCTTTCGATCCTTTCTATTAAATATAGTGTTTATGCTTTTGATTAAGTTCATCTGTGGAACTTCCAGTAAAGCGCCTTAACTTGGTTCTACTATTGAGACTAAGGCCTCATTTGGCAACTCAATATTTTGGCCTAAAAGTCAAAAAGTTACTAAAAAAATTAAAAAGTCAACAATCTATACCAAAAAGTCAAGATTCTCTTTTCTCTATAAATTTTGCACATCTTTTCGTAAAAAATTAAAAAGTCATTCCAAACATACTAATTTTTTTTATCTCATATTTTAGCTAAAAAATCAAAAAATTAGTAAAATTGTATGTTTCCAAACGAGGCCTAACTAATTTTTATTCAACTAAAATGTGACTTTTTTTTTTTTGTGTGTGTGTTCATTTTTGTGTTTTTTTGTTGAATTTCTTTTGCTTCCGTGTATGGGCATGTCAAAACAACTTGTTTAGCTTTCTATGATTTCCTTTGCAAGCTTTCTGAAACATTGATTAGTCCAAGTATACTGTTAGAGCAAACCAAGTTGTTAATGTTATGGTTTGGAATTCGATAGTTTCTTATCCGTTTCTTGTATCTGACTTAATCTTTTAGCCACTCATTTTTTGTAAAATATTTTCATTCCAAACATGTGCTGATATATCGAGTGAAAAGTTTCAATAGTCAGTTTATTAAATTATCCTTGTAACTGGAAATTTTAGTCAATTTCTTCATGTAGATAGTTATGTAACTTTTTGGTGTTCAAACAAATTTTTTAAGACTTGTACATTAGAGAAAACTAAAGGACTATTGGAGTAAATACTAATGTTGGGGTGAATAAAGGTTTTCCTTAATCCGTGACCAAATGAGGATTGGCAAATGGTGTGAATGGACTACATGGGTTTACTTTCAAACTGAGAGATCAACTTCCCAACCAAAGGAGAAAGTCTATCTTCTTGACTAGAATAAGGAAAATATTTTTGTTTAGAGTCTGAAATTTTTTAAGAGCATGGATTAAAAGGAACAAGTAGACCTTGTGGTCCAATGTCAACAGTGTTGGCCTTCTCTTTGTCAAGAGTTATCTACAAGTTGTGTTTCATACACCAAGCTGATGTTGCGATGCTTTTCTTTTTCTTAAGTGACTAATAGTTTTGGTGCTACTATGAATGGGGCTGCTAAACTTGCAGTTGCTGTAAGGAGCAGTGATTTAAAAAAAGGAATAGGAATTAGTCATGGAAAAATTCACTTGTATATGAGTGCTATTTCTCCAAAATTTTTTGTATACCATGTAATGGTCCCTCCAAACTCATTCCAGTGCTGCCAAAATTTTTGGAAAGCTCACTCTGTATAAGAGTTGCCCTTCGAAATTTGATTACTCATGTAATGGCCCCCCAAAAATTTAATCCGACTTCCTATTAAAACGTCCATGGTGACTATATGTTAAAAAAACTTGCAATAAATAAGAAATATAGTCCACTTGATTATTGTGAAATCATAATTTTTTTTTTTAAAAAAAAAAAGTTTACTAAAAGCAGTTAAATTGTGGTAGAGAAAAGAGATTTGTTTCTTATGTAGATTCCTATGGGTTTTTTTTTATTGGACCATTTGTGAGGTTTTATGGCCCTAAAAATATTGAGTAATATTTAAATAATTGCATAGGCTTATGAGAAGTGAGTAGCATATCTAAATTGAGACTAGTTTCGTATAATATTTGATTGGACCAATTGATGAATATTTAAGTAATATTTCAATAATTATTTAATCAATTAAAACCCGACCCGATCCTCACTGCCCGACAGAATCTTCCCTATGCCTTTGTTTTGGCAGCTTGGCCCCTTCACTGGAGGAGTTGCATTTGCACCCCCTGACATCCATGTTGAGGGACCAACTAGGGGTTGCATTTCCACATATTTCCTGACAATATAACAATCCTCAAACATCAAAGGTGGTTGTGTAGTACATTGCTAGGAAATTGAATTTTTTCTGCAAAATGACTTCTTTCTTGTGAAGTAGTTGAATCAATATTAACTTTTGTTCTATGCAGAACACCCCTGGATTCAAAATGCGAAGAAAGCTCCAAATGTTCCTTTAGGAGATATAGTGAGGACAAGGCTCAAGCAGTTCTCTGTAATGAACAGATTCAAAAAGAAAGCTCTGAGAGTAAGCATCTAACTTAGGCTAATTGTTTTGTTCCATTTCTGTTTGTTTCTTGATGAGCATCCCTTCATATAGATTGATCTGTACAGAAAGCCCATATTGACTGATTTGTACACGCCACTTGTGCAATTAATTAAGAAATGGTTGTCATCATGCCTTGGAATCAAGGATCTGCAACGCATGAATGTTTGTGCATAAGGTTTTGATTTGTCTGATCAAATATTTTAGGTAATTGCACAACACTTATCTGTTGAAGAGATAGAAGTAATCAGAGATATGTTTACATTGATGGACACTGACAATGATGGGAAAGTAACGTATGAGGAACTGAGGGATGGGCTTAGGAAAGTTGGTTCAAAATTGGCCGAACCTGAGACAAAGTTGCTGATGGACGTGGTAAATTTCTCTGTCTAGTTAAAAATTTTACCATTTTAGTTGCTTAATTATTGTATATTATACTCGATGCATGGACTTTTTCAAGTTTTGACTTATCATATCAGGGACTCTGCCTGTCTTGGTTCCGTTTATGCAGTTTTTGAAATCACTCTATGCAACAGCTAAGAAGCTTTTTTATATAATTTCCCTTGTGATTTACTATAATGATTAGTCTATTAATATCTTAATCAATATAATGTCATTCTTCGTATTGGTCTTTGTCTCATTCAAATGGTTTATCATACACTGTTACTATTACTTGTTTTATTTCTTATCGCAATTATTTAATTAACTCACATCAACCTTATTGCATTGCTGCCACTGCTGCCATCAAGCCATAATTATGATACCATAGAAAAAAATCATTTTGCATCATTGTTTTTTCAAACCCGAAAAGTTCATTAGAATGTAACATATTCATCCAAATGTTGTATTCTAAAATAATTAGACTTTTATGTCAGAATCCTTGATTTTAAAATCCTGGAATATCACAAATTGTTCGTGCAAACTCACTCTTGGCAGTCCAAAAAAGTTAAGAAGTTTATGCTGCTGCTGGCAGACTACATATTGAGCCACTCTCTGCTTTTTATTCAATATAGTATTAATATTTATGCTTACTTGAGCGCAAGATTGTTCAATTTTATATAGTGCTTGAACAACTGAGCAAATTTTTTTTTTTTTGCATGTAATGTTTGCTGAATTGTGCCATTGCCTGCTGCTATACCCACATGTACTTAAAAGTTGGCCAAATTGGGTTTGGATGCGGTGTCTAAATTAAATTAAGGTAAAAAAAATTGCAAATGGATAATTTGGTAACATTTTGGCCACTTTATATATATACATATATATATATAGAGAGAGAGAGAGAGAGATGAAAATTCAGAAGAAATTTTAGGGAGGATCAGAACCGATGACCAATAGAACGTGCAGTTTTCTTAGAAATGTGGCTTAACATGGACTATTTTAATCTAGAAAAAAGAAATATGCCACCAATTCCCAAATGAAGAACTGCAACTTCACACAACTCTTCTTTATCAGTGCTTTGGGCGGGTTCATTTTCATATTCTGATGTGGGATATTTGTCATTTGGGTTTCATTGTTCTGACCGGTTCATGGTCAGACTTGAATAGATTTTCCCTGTATTGCCTCCAAGCCCACATTGTCATCATTTAGGTTTATTTGCAGATTTCCGATGTGGGGATTTATGTTATTTGGATTCATTGTTCTTACTTATCAACTGAAGATCTTCCACGTAGATTTCCAATTTGGAACTTAATACACGCCTAAATTTCTCAGGTTCATTATTATCTCCTTCCTTACAATCACAAATCACAATTGATCACATACCGCGGTTGACTGGCTCGTTGTCAACCTTGAATAGAGTTGTGCTATACTGCTTGTGAGCCCACATGGTTGTGTTGGCTCTGATATTACAAGCTTGACCACCACTCACAGTTAATCACAAAATACCACGACCAACTGGCTCGTAGTCAGCCTTGAACTGAGTTGCGCTGCAGTGCCCCTGTGCCCACATGGTCATGTGTGCAGGTTGGCTCTGATAACAACCACGGGAACTCACCCAAATGGGCTAGCCAACAAATGTTATTTGGGTTCATTGTACCTACTTATTATATATCTAAGATTTTCCATGCTGAATTCTATGGCTATTGTTTAATTGCTGTTCTTTTTCTATTTATGGTAGTGAGATTTTTAATGATTGGTTGGAGCTCATCTTTTGGAAAACACATTTTTACATTTAATAGGAAATTTGATTCATTGATCATAAAATCATGAATTTTATCATATGTTAAACATCTAATTGCAGCCTAGAGATTAGAGATCACAAACATAGTTCTTAAACATTTATATCCTACTAATGAAATACTTCCATTTGAATGTTTATTAGGCTGATGTTGATGGGAATGGAATCCTGGATTACGGAGAGTTTGTAGCAGTAACGATCCACCTACAGAAGATGGAGAATGATGCGCATTTCCGCGAAGCATTTATGTTTTTCGATAAAGATGGAAGTGGGTATATTGAGCTTGACGAACTACGAGAAGCTTTAGCAGATGAATCCGGGGAAACTGATGCTGATGTACTAAATGAAATCATGCGAGAGGTCGACACTGACAAGGTTTGGTATTTAAGCCTACCATCATATTTGTCTAATCAATCTCAAGACCCCTTCCCTCTTTCTCTTTGGTTTCTACTTCAAAAGCATTACCTCATAACCGGTTGGTATCAATCATATATAGGGCTGCAAACAAGCCAAGCAGATCTTTGGAGTTTTTGAGTTTGGATCACCAAGAATTAGTCTAGCTCGTGCTCGAGTCGTGCTTAAAAATTCCAGCTCGAGCTCAGTTGCTAAGTATTCGAGAAACTTAAGCTCAGCTTAAGCTAAGCTCGAGCTTGAAAAAAATAAATCAAACTTAATATGTATATTAAAAGAAGAAAGAGAAGATTATTAACAAAATATATAGAATACTCATTAACAATAAATTTCATCAATCAAATATATGAATTTACACAAACACCAAACATAGATAAAAAAAAAAAACAAACATAGATAGTGAAATAAAATAAAATAAAACAATAAAAACACATTTGAGATATTATTAAAAATAAATATTAATTTATATTCCTTATGTTTACATGCTTAATCGAGCCGAGCTTGGGTATTCTCTAACTCGGCTCGATTACTAAACGAGCCTAAAAATTGAGCTCAAACTCGTTCATTTAGCGAACAACCTGAGCTCGAGCTGTTCATGAACAACCTAGTTCGTTTGTAGCCCTAATCATGTACAAGAACTCTTCACATAAATTAGATTTGTGTGGACAACATTTGAAATTTTGAAAACATTGAGAGTCCATTTGGATGGATAGATTTCAAATCAAAGGATTTAAAGTTGAATTTTATTAAAATATAGAGAGTTAGCTGTTATGGATGGATTGAAAAACTAAGGTAGAAGATAAATCGAGATAGAAGAGATGTATTTTAGTAGCATCCGTGTATTTAGAAGGAGAATAATTCAATCTTAAAATCCATAGATAAACTATCAAATCTAAATGTGAGTTATTCTCCTGGTATGGTTTGTGCCAAATCCTTGCATTTCAAATCCATTAATACAAATGGAACCTTAGTTTTGGATTGATTTAAATTTCAAAATTGCTCGAAGTCCCCTTTCTTTGATGCCCTTTTGTAATGATTGTACAAAATTCTTTCAGGATGGGCAAATCAGTTATGATGAGTTTGTTGCAATGATGAAAGCCGGAACTGATTGGAGAAAGGCATCCCGGCAGTATTCAAGGGAGAGATTCAAGAGCTTGAGCCTTAATTTGATGAGGGATGGCTCATTGCAGCTTGAAGATACGATTACTGGTCAAACTGTTGTGGTTTAAGCTTGATTGTTTCATTCATCATCAACACATCCTATACATGAAAAGTTTAGATTTGGATTTTACTAAACAGGAATTCAAAGGAGGTTGGAGTCGACAATGTTCTTGAGCTTCATCCGATGGGATTCTTTTTATTCTTTTTTTGGGCGGGTTGAGGGAATGAATTGGAGAACCACGTTCTGTTGCAAGGAATTGTATATGTTACAGTTTTCAAATTTGTGTCAACTTGTATATTGGTCATGTTATTTGTGCTTGATGATTTGCCAGTATTTGTTCTTTCCTAACATTGTTTAGATACTAGTTAAGAATTTAGTGGGAATGTGCATAAATTTTTTTTAAATATTAGGGGAAATGTAATTTTATGGAAAAATTCTGTTCTTTGAGTTCTTCCCTTGTCAAACATAATCCTAGTTTTTGAGCCTTGTGAAAAAGCATGTGTGAGATGCATTTGGAGTTACTAAGCGCGACCAACAGTTCAGAATCCATATTTCTGATTTGATATCACTAGTGTAATGTGAAACATAAAATGAGAGTTCAAATCCAGTAATTTTTTAGAGAAATTCATTTTATTACAAAACATTTGTTAGGAATAGACTATATTATCAGATTTCAGAGTCGCCATTTAATCTTTTGGAGAAATTAGAAAACTCGTGACTCGTGCCAAATGTTGCTGTCCGTCATAGTCAAAGTGTTTCTGTTTGGGAATTTAGGTATGAAAGGAGAAGGTCATTAATTGAGCACTCATTCACCCAATCATAAGATCGGCCTCTACAAAGTGATGTGGTTTTTATAATCAATGTATATTCATGTTCTAGTTATTAATAATGCTATCATTACTATCTGAGACTTGCAAGTATAGATTGTGCCATTAATTTTGGTTATGCTTTGAATTCATGCATTTTTTAAAAGCCTTAAAAATCAATTACATAACTACATAACCTTTATCCACCGGTATTCGAACATATCTCATCTAAACACTTTTAGCCTCATGATATAGTGACGAATATGATAAGGGAACATACACATGCGATATGCTAAAGCCAAGTATATATACAGATATGATCCTACATACAACCCAGCTAATGCAATACATACACAACATGCGCCTAGCAGTTTGGATACTAAGACGTGTCATGGATATAATCTCAAGACATAGAATTATGCACGTATTCATCTTTGAAAATAAATTCTATAAAATCGGACCCGAATGCATGAAAAATGAATGCAATATACAGGTATAATAAATAAAACATGATGCAGTACCAAAAGTATGTAAATAAAAGGGTTAGAAAGATGTGGGGTTGAAAGTTGTTGTAACAATTCAAATGAGAAATGAGGGGGAGAGAGATTATTACAACATTGAATGGATTTACCCAATCTACTGCTGAATCTAACAAATCATGCTAAACAACGCATACAGAAGTTTCAGAACTATCTAGGAGAGCACTCCCCAGAAACTATTTGCTCTGTTCTTGGGAGGATATGCCAAACTAGGAAGTGGCCGGCCAAGTTTTTCTTCCGACTGGGATTTAGGTCAATGCAGAATTCCAAGATTTCAATAGACACTTTCTGGGGGGTACTCATCCCTTCTACCTCCTCTGCTGATAGAGATCACTTTAGGAAGAGGTGGATGGGCTACAATCCTCAATAATGACATAAACAGATACATATATATATATATGTATAGTAGATATTTTGCAATATATCAGTGATTAAATGAATCAAAATTAAGAACAAATTCAAACCCAAAAAAAGGATAAGAACCTATATCTTCTTTTTGTGAATAAAGGTAAATCAATACCCAAATTCATACTATTAAGTGAAGAGCATAGATTAATGTAAATAATTTCTTGGTGAAAGTTTTGCTTATTAAGACAAGGGATTCATCAAATTTATTAAAAACTCCTCATCTAATCATAGAACAAGAATGGTTACACCTTTTCTATGTTCACAGATGATTGAGAATGAAAGTTTCAACTTCCTTTGACCCAAAATCTCTTATTTTACTTCTAAAATACTCAATGAAAGGTAAGGACACCACTTCTCAACATCAGATACCATGGACCACTCAAGCAATTCTATGAAACAACTCCTAACACTTATTGACATTGAGAAAAGAGTTGAAAAAACATAGATTGATACACTTGAGAGATAAGATAAGTGAAGAGGAAGAGTGTAACAATAAGAAAAGCTACTCTACTTATTGAACTTGTAAATGGATGGCTAATAAATACTCCAAAACACATTCCTAAGGGTCCAAGATACATAAGAATTAGAAGTTAAAGCCAAGGAAAACAAGAAAGTAAAGAAAAATCTATTAACTGAATGGATGGGTGGCTAAATCTACTCCTTTCACATCCATGAGGACTTGTTGCATCTCTACAATAGTTATATAGTGAAAACAGAGCTTGAAATGAAGAAAGGAAAATAAAATAGTGATTAATAGTGTAAGAAAATCACCTCTCAAGAGGATAAGTCATTTTGATTCACAAACTCCCTTTTAATTCCCTCAATCCACTTTAGATGTATTGTTTAATGTCCAAGGGTCTTAGCAAGGTGTTAGGATCAAGCTTCAATGGAGCTTGAATGTCCAAAGTTAGAGGGTGGTAGGTAGGATATGTGGTCAAGAGGGAGAAGGGTCAAGAGGCTCTTATGAGCTTTGGGAAAATCTTTCAACCCTTTGAAATAAGTTGCCGAGCTCTATATATAGAGCTCAGGGTGTAAATATTTGAGATATTTGTGGAAAGTGTGTTGGACAATTTGAAATTTCTGAAAATGCTTTGCACCCGGAACATTAACCGGCCATTCTTCTTGGTGATTGGTTGTGTGCTTTTTTAGCCAGCCTATATATGGTGTCTGGTAGTCAGCAAGCACATCATCACATCAACAAGAGAAGGTTAGCCTGAACTGAAAGGAGAAACATGTATTTTAGAGGATTTCATCCCCTCCATTCATTTCCAGTGTATTCTTTGCTCAGTTTGTTTAAAATAATACAACATGTTGACTTTGAAAATATGAGCCTCAGAACATTGTAGTAATGTTTAAAGTTGCACCACTAAATTATTTTGAAAGAGGTTTCTATTTTTGTCGATTTTTTTTTTGTCCAAAACAGATCTTTGGATGGTTTAAAACTCGATCCTTAGGTTTTTTGTTGCAGAACTTGTAAGATTAACACATCTTGTCTTCATTATCGGAAACTCCAAAGAGAGCACCCAAGTTTTAAGACTAGTCAAAATGGGGTGTCTACAATATGCCACAATGTGTAACAACCCCTATCCGTAATTAACCACTAATCTGTATTTAATGATGTTAATGAGTGGATTAAAATAAATTATGTGTTTACTCTGCACTTTGTATGATTTTGGCTTCCTATCTATTACTTATAGAAATATCTGTTTGGAATTTCACTTTAATATGTAAATTGAAAGCCTTATCGGCACCCGAAACCGAAATTGATTACGTCAATATGTTATTTGGAATTTTTAGAACCACATGGCAAGTTTTATTAAAAATTGATTCAGTCGGATTCGTTAAGTCACGTTTGGCAAGCCTTATATTCTAACTAATGTATTTTAGCATCATAACCTTATATTCAACACATTTAGCTCTTTTCCCCTCATTCCTTGAGTGCCAAAATCTGAGAATTTACTTGAGAGAGAGAGAGAGTGCATTCTAGTGAGAGAGAAGAAGAAGAAATTAAAGGTAGAAGTTGAAGGCTTTGCTTGAGTTCATCAATTTTGTGCAAGAATCTAGTTAATTCTAAACTATAGGTATGAATTTCACCCTTAATTTATGAATCTAAGTAATTAACATGAAGATTATAAGTTTGATGTGTATATTGAGCTTAGAGTAAAAATTTGAGTTGCAATTCATGCATGCATTTACATTTTCTTACAAATTGAGCAAGATTTCCATGAATCCTCTCTTGCATGTTTGAAATTCATCTTCATTTAGGGAAATCATCAAGTTTCAAGTTGTTTTGTGGTGTTTGATCATGTTTTGAGAAGTTTGATACAAAAAAAATTCATGCATGTTGTGTTCATGAACATTCATCATGTTTTAAGTTGAAATTGTGAGTTTTTAACAAACCCTTGGGCCATGATTTTATGAAATGATCCTAAATTCTTCATGTTTTACAAGTTTATTATGTTATCTCAAGTTTTGGGGCCCAAGAGATGTGTTTTGAAGGTTGGAATTCGAGTTTTGAGCTTGAAGGTGCAATTTGAAAATTCCAGAATTTGCATCTACGCTCGAGCGTGGGAGTTCACGCTCGAGCGACCAGTCTGAGTGCATGCACTCTGCTCAAGCGACCAAAAGTCCGCTTGAGCGTAAATTGCAAGCTCCTAGAAGTTTCACGTCTTTTACAGATCGCTCGAGCGAAGGAATGTGCACTCGAGCGACCATTCACATTTTGCATGTCCGCTCGAGCGAGGAAAGATACGCTCGAGCGTGGACCTTATTTTCAAAAAATTTGACTAAGTGTTCCAAGGCATGTTTTGGCATCCTCATTGCATCTTAGGCATTCCTAAGCCTTCATTAAGCCATAGTAATGAGGTTATGGATTAGAAACACACTAAGACAAGAATGTACAAAGTCAAGGAATTGCAAGTGTGTGTGTGTGTTAGACAATGTGATAAGAAAGAACAAGAACCAATGTAATGAAAGCTAAGCCGTGTTGGCCGCATGAATGTGTAATAATAAGACATGCTTGTGTTATGTGTTTTGTGATTGTAGGTCAGGACTCGAGGATTGATTAACCATTTTTGGGAACCACTGTGAGTAACATTTTTGTAAAGATATGTTGATATGAATTATCTTCCAAATAAAATGTGATAAGTTATGATTTCTGAAATGATATCTGTTTACGCGAACGAACATCCCAAGTTTGAAATCTATTATGGCATCCATAGATAGTCTCAAGTCATGGGGGACGGCATGAAAATGCGGGTCCATGACATACAAGTAATTACGAAATCTCGTTAGCCACCTCATTGTGGTGATATGTGTTTAATCGGTATCTGGAACCGATTACTCTAGTCGGAAGACGTTCTGTAATGTGTTCTATGGGATGTACCATTATTATGTTCTGATACGAGAATAATTATGCTATGATATGTTTTACGCTTATGATATATTCGGATTTCGCTCACTAACCTCTTGACCTTAATGTTATTCATTGGGCTTTAGCTCATTGTGTGTATATATATGTATAGGTGAGCATTCTGGAGCCCGAGCCTGAAGGCTTTTGTCTGGATCTGTGTTCTGTTGTCAGCCAACCATTGTGCCTCACGTGGAGGTTCCCGAAGTGTCCTGTGTTCAAGTTCTGTTG